GAACTGAAAGACAATGAAACTAAAGAGATGGGGATACACTCCTTTAGTGAAGCAGGCTTCAATCTAAGGTCTGCTCATACATTGAAACACATGGATACTTATAGTCGAAATTCAAGTATGAATATCTCTGGTGCACAAATGTGTTCCACTGGAAACGTGTTCAATCAGATGGTGTGGCCTTCACGACTTTCAATTCTTGGAGATGTGATTCTAAATGAACGTGAAGTACGTACATTTGAAAGTGCATGTCCATTGTCATTGGCCACTTTTACTTCCTTGTTAATTGAGTTTGTTGCAAGACTTCAAAATCTTGTAAATGCATTTCAACAGCTTAGTGAGAAGGCAAAATTTAAGGAACCCGTAGATGCAGCAGAGGCAGCGAACTTCTAGAAATTTAGCCGAGAAAACTCAGTATCACAAGTTCTATTTGTGCGAATGCTCATCATGAAGATGCTATAAGCAGAACATCACTTAGGTACTGTTCTTAGGAAATGGATTTTTTGTTCCAGGGCTCGAGATCACATAAAAACCGATTTGTTGAGCCAAACTAGAGAATTCATGTAGATGTGATTACTGTAGTAGACATAAGTTATTGTTTCATAAATAACTAATGCCCAGTTGGGACCTTTTCTTATGTATATTATGAAAGCTGTAAGGCTTTGATGAATTATTATCTGGAAACTGAAGTGGTTGTTATACATGAATTACAGATATTAAATTGCTTATCAGATATTCACTTGAAAGTTTTGAAAAATCATAAGCAAAAGTCATCTGTTTTACTTCCCAATACCTAATGTTGACAAAAAGTAGTTCTTTTTTCTTAACAAGTACATTGTGGTTTCAAGGTAAAAACTTACCGCCCATATTATTCTTACACTAAAATCATAAAACTAAAATAAGCGTCTTTTGATATAAAACCGTAACTGTTTAATTGCTTGGTCAGAATATAAATTATCATATATTTATTTTATATCCATTTAAATATAAAATATACTACCTCCATTTTAAAAAAATGACATGATTTGACTTGACAGAGAGTTTAAGATTATAAAGAAGACGTTGTGGTCCTAAATTAAAATTAAATTAAATGTACAAAATCACCCTTTGATCTTGTGATCTTAAACATGCCATGTGAAAAATTGAAATTAAAATGTTACAAAAAAAACTATCTTTTAAAACAAACTAAAAGAAAAAATGGTTCCTTAAAACGGAGGGAGGAAGTACTAATTTATTCTTGATAAAATTATATGGATTGTTTCTCGTAAATAGTGTGCACTTTCTTACCATTAGAAATAATTATCTTGAATTTGTACCGTGAGTCAATTATTTTACTATTTAGCCAAATAAAATGAAGACGATTGGATTTAACGCCCAGTGAAGCTCTGACCAAAGAAAAAAAAAGAGAGGTGGAATGGCTGGTTCTGCTACTGCTCATGGCTTCCCAACTAGCTTCTTGCTTTCTCCTCGCAGCACGGGACACTTTACTTATTTGCTATCATCACTACAAATTAAACCTAAAAGTAGCAATTTCAACTTGCTCAACACTTGCCCTTTATCGCATTTATGTTCATCCTCGGCTAATGGATCTATCACGGATGATAATTTTTTCCAACAAAACAAAAACTTAGATGTCAGTCTCTCTCTCTCTCACACACATATATTGCGTTCTTCTATTGATTTTTTGATTAATATTTTTTTGTTTCCTTTTCTGTGTGGGATAAGAGCCAAGAGAGCAAAGGGTTTTGGAAGAAATGGAAGGTTTGGTAAACCCATTATTTTTTTTAGGATGATTTGGTGAAAACTGCTTTGACGTTGTGTTTTAATCAGGAGAACTCAGCGGAAATGAGTGCGAAGGTAGCAAAGCTAGGGCTTGCGGCAGTTCTTGCTTATGGCATTATTGATGGTGTCACATACACTAGTTTCTTTGTGCTTGCATTTATGGGCTATGAGAAGACCACCGGCAATAATCCTGCTGCAAATCTCCAATCTTTGTTGGGGGTAAGTAGTAATTCTTAAATAGGTATGAAATATGCAATTGATAAAAGGGGGGAATGGTTTTTGCTTTGATTTAGAGAAATAGAGACTTGATTTCCTAGAATTACTTCTCTTTTGAGCCAAGGGTCCTCTCTACCTCCACAACGATAGGAGTAAGGTAAGGTTCGCATACATCTTACTCTCCCCAAACCTAACTTGCGTTGTTGTAGACTTGATTTCCTGAACTTTTTAGTGCAAAGGTAAAAGGTACCATATTATGGAAATATGTGGTATTTACATTTAGGATACTGGATGAATGCTTATCATAGCATTTTCATTTGTCGTAGAATATCCACTTCAGTATTTACATACCGAAGTTGTCTTTTCCATTTCTTCAGATCAAAGTTAAGACCATCTTTTCCTTTTCACCATATCGTGAGTTCCTTTATCTTAGATCTAATTTAATGTCATTCTTCTCCTCTTTACCAGAAAGAGCATCCAGAGTTAACAATAATACTAATGAGAATCATTTAGCAACTATAGGGAACTCGGAATTTTCATGGTGCCTCGTGTCAATCTGCACCTTACTTCCCCATTGGACATGTGCTATTTTAATTGAGCACTTTTGTATTTTCATTTCTCCTTTGCTCAAAAAGCACTCTTCATAACGGCAGATTATAATCGCAATGTGGACGGGAAATAATGTGACCAGGCCATTTAGGGTTGCAGGAGCAGCTGCTCTGGCACCTGCCATTGACAAGGGACTAAAGAGAATACAGAGATACTTAAACTTTCCAAGTCTTGTATATGCTTTTGCTTTAGTGGTGACTATAGTTGCTGGGACATGTTTCACCATTATTGGTTTACTCATCCTTTCAAGATGGGGAAAGTGAACGATTCCACCCATAAGTTAGCTGGATATTTGTTGTAATCTGTTGAGTGTTACTTGTATCATTGAGATAGTCCTCTGACTATATATTTTTCCACTTATATGGTCTCGTAAAAGTAGTTGGAAACGTGTTTTTAGTTAGTACACAAATTTCTAAAGTTCAGAGTTACTTAATTGAATGACAAGTTAATGTTATTATATTTGTGTTTCTCTGCAAAAATAAATGCCCAAATATAAGGTTAATCGAAAAATACAATTCCCTATAGTGCCTATTCCTACTGTTTCATTTATGTTACCGGTATTTTTGCTTCATGCACCTACTCTGTTCTTCTTCTTCTGAAGTAACCTTATAAATAGGGTCTAACTTGAAGTACAATTGTGATGAGGTCCAAGTATTTTAGGTTGTTGCCTTATTGGGTTGAAAATCCAACGTATATTACATCTCGTAGTTCCTTCTGTATAGATGTGCATTAGTAGAGGACTAGAGGCTGTGTTGGATCACCATCCAGCATCCAAGACACATAAATATGTACACTCGATCAAAATAGTTTTCTAAACTTGTAAATGAAGATTTTAAGTATTTATATCTAGTTGAAGCTTTAAAGGGAAGCGGTAGATTCCAATGGTAGATCTTAGACAGCATAGGCATGTGGCAAACAGTGAACTAGGTAAACCTTATACCATATTTAACATGCTACACAAAGTTAAATAGAATTGCTGATATCCTAAACCATGCTCGCTTCAACCTGTGAACAAACCTTTCCCTAGGTTAAGGCATTATTGAGCACTGCAAGAGCGCATCTGAACTCAAACTTCATCTCTCATAATAAAACATAGGGTGCTCGTCATGTAACAAGGGAAGTATCTTTTTTTCACTGAACTGAACTTTGTGAAATTCATGAAGTAGTGCAAGGCTTTGAAATGTAGCCTAGAAATATATCATACTTTTGCAGAGTCTATCCATGCAGGATACAGTGAGTTAAAGCAATGTATCCTCGTTCAACATGGACGTATGCCTTCTCTCCAACAGTTGCTTCAGTCAATGTTATTCTTAGGCTCGTACTCTGGAGGTTTTCTTCTGCCAAGAAAGAGGAAAAGTGCACGTATTTAGCTTCCAGCTGTTATGGGTGGAATTCCTAAGACTAAGGCTAGTATAACAAGACTAGTAATGCTTAAAATTTTGTTTACCTCTAGTATACTCATTATTAAGGTTTCTTCTGTGAGAATGGCTGTGGATGTATTAGAGGTACCAAATGAAAGGCAACATTCTTCTTCTTTCTTCTTTCTTCTTTATTTTTTTTTTCAAGTCAAATTGAACAAAAGCAGCATTTGGTAGGAAGAATGGTACCATGAAAAGTAACTATTCCTGCAGTTGGCAAGGCAAGAAAGAATTTTTTTTTTCTTAATCGTGTAGCTTACACGCACCTCCCTCCAGCAACAGGTACCAGGAAACTTTGTCCACAACAGTAAACATAGAAAACACCTTGTGTTTTGTCTTTGCTAGGAATTGATAAGCACAAGGCAAGATAGAAATTCATTCTTCACTGTATCTGATTAGTATAAGTACTGATGACATTATGACAATGATAAACCCAAACTTAAAGAAGTTGGAAGAAATATCAATGTGTATGTATGTGAATATCCATTTGAATTTATGGCAGTGTGTGATTGTTCCTTCTGATGTCTTTTCGATAGTATTTTCATTTAACTTGACGCATTTATTCAAATAAAACTTTATTCTTTTGTTTGAAAAATATATCAGCAAATGAAAGTATTATTTGTCTTTTAAGTATTACTAATTTCATAGATCAAGAAAGATATTGCACTACAATCTAGATTTTCATATCAGCCAATAAAATTCTTGAGAAAGAGTATGATATACGTTGTTAAATTTAAAATTCTATGTTAGCTGCTTTGTAATTGTATTTCAGGTGATTAATAGTATATACAATTAGATACCTGAAAAAAAAAGAATGCAATTATATTCAAGAACGACTGATAGTATTGCGATAACGAAATTTAAAGAGACATAATTGATCAAAAGGCAAAAACAATTTTCTAAATTTAGAAAAACTATAACAAAAAATTAACTTATCATTTTTAATTTCTTTAACGATTATATATTCAGTAATATGAAATAATTGAAAAAAAATGATCTCGAACATTTCCCATTGAGAATATTCTCCGTATAGTAAAAAAAGAAATTCCTCAATTAAATTCTTAGAAGGTCAAAAAGAAAAATCATATTCATACAAATATAGTAGACCATCGGAAGTAAAAATACAAATATAACAGACCGAGAAACCAATTGAGCAATCTTTTTCTTAAATTTAGCGTTTGGTGATGAATTGATAAGTACTTAATCACTAAAGATTTTGATTTTGAGTTCTATATATATAATCACTTATCGTAGGGACGGTTTTATCTCAAAATAAGACTTTTCAACGTGGATCACGGAAAAAAATTTAAAAGAAAAAAAGCAAAAAGAAGTTGTCTCCATACAAATGATAAATATGTTTTCATCTTTAATCAAAGATGTCTGCTTCAAAATTCTGGATAAATAATCGCTTTTAATAAATATTTTTTTTTATCTCAAAATGAGAATTTCTAGTGTGAATCTAAATTAGTCGTGCTTCAAAATGGGCACTCTAACACCTGTGGACACTAGGTGAAAAATCATAATCAAAGTAGAAAAAAAAAAGGTTTTGCTGATTTCTAAGTAAAGGAAGCGTAATTATGCGTAATCAGCGCCAAAGATGCCACACTTTAGGTTACTAATATGCTTCTGTCACCCATAATCAAGAGAAAAATAGGAGACATTTGCTGGTGTAGGTAAAAGTGGTTCAGTTATCAATAAACTGATGGAGTTTTGCCCAGTAATAAACCTGCAGCCACGTGCTCTAAGTACCCTTCCAAGATGTCTAACTTAAGCTTCTTCCCTTGTTTAACTTCCAATACCATTTCTGGTGGCGGGTACACACACATAGTAACATAGCCAAGTGGCCAAATTGCTGCATGCCAAGTATAAAGAACCGTGGGCATGCTAAAATAACCATTTCTTTATTTAAACATATTGTCCACAGTAATGCCATCCAAGTGGAATTATAGAAAGTTTGAACAAGTCCCTCCTATGCGAAAATGAAAATTTATGAGACTTTCTTGTTAGAGGTCTTAAATTTAAATTTTTTTATAAGCGAAAGCAATGGATTTGTTTTTTGGATCGTCAAATCGAACTTACCTATAGCTGGATTACCTTTTTTATGTGATTTTTCAGTTATTATACAAGAGTGGCACCCAAAAAATTAGAAATAAAAATGCGTGCGACACTTATTCAAATTTACATTCATGCGTTAGGCCTATGAATACTATCCCCTAAAGAATTGGTATTATCACTAGGAGCTCTTGCTTTCTAGGAGGCTAAGCCTATTCCTTGGTTAACCTATTTTTTTTTATTTCTGTTAAACATGAATTGATCGAATATTTTATCCATTTTTATTTTTGTTTAACCTATTCATATCCGATCTGACCCATCCATTTGCCTGTCCAAGAAAGGGGTTTTGCAGATTCACTAGAATATATCCATTCTTTCAACGTCCAAATCTATGCATATAGTGCAAAAATCAAGTACTAACACTCTCTCGATTCAGAACCTATAACGTTTAAGTTCTGGATCAACCAGTGTGAAACAAAGGAAGAGGAAGATCACCTTTTGCACAGTCTTCAACTAGTTTTCTTAAACTTTAGTATATCAATTGAGCATTGTTAAAACTAAGATTGTGGTCCTAAACATAAAGTAACAATCGATATCCACATGTTGACCTAAAATCCCGTTGCCAATTGCAATAATATAAACATTTCTTTTACACTCAATTCCATCCAACGTTAGAATATATGAAATAATATATTATTCACAAATCACAATCATATCATATCCCCATTAATTCCCACAAAGCCTTCCACTAATAGAAAGTTTTTCCATAAATATCGACAATAACATAGACTTACACTCACAACCCATATAACAAAGTAGTCCTCTTGTGGTAAGTTTCATTCAATTACATATATGCAAAAACTTGTACTTGTTATAATTACATCTATAACCTTTCCTTTTCTGTAAACTCTGTAACTAGTAAAAATATCTCATTCAGAAAGATTTTCATGATCATGTCTTATAATTAACTACTTAAGAAGTACAAGTTGAGTTCCTGGTGAAAACGACGAAAATCACATGCCACTCATGGCTCAGCAGAGTTCACTAGACTACAATGTGAGTTTTTTTCACTTCTGTTTTAGTTGTTGTTAGTGATTTACAGTGTTTCTGATTGCGTTTCTGTATATTTTTTGGTGTCAAAAGGGTAAGCCAAAGAACAGAATTTTGACAAGAAGTAGAAGGTGTTTCGAGCCAATTAGCAAAAATAATTTCACTTCTTATAGTCAAGCATCAGAGGTACCTAGCAGCCCTGCCAATGCAATGGAGTTCTTGAGTCGACCGTGGAGTCCATCTTCTAGTGATCTCCTGCAAATGTTTTCATCAAGTGTAAGTAACCAACATTCTGCTGTGTCAGTTAGAAGCATAACTGAGGATTAAAGACTGTTAATCGTCAAACATATTCGTTTCAAATGAAAAGTAAACAGCAATTACTGTAGTTTATTTTTCCCTCTCTTGTGAGAATTGGTGCCTTGTTTGAACATGCATGATAATGTCAATTCAAAACTGGAATTATAAACAACCCTTAACAGAGTTCTCTGCTTTTGCAGAATCTCTTGTTGAAAGACGCGGCAGGCAAAGAGGATTATGAAGAACAAGATGAGGAAATACTGGACAGTTCAAGCAACAGAGCTTTTACCAATAAACAGTATATTAAGGTGATCAATCACAAACTCTTTGCACCACCCCCACCCCCTAAACCGACACTTTGAAGCATCCACTACGAAAAATGATACAGTACAATGACTCAGAGATATTTATTAATAAAAGGTCTCACCAGTAGTCTTGGCTGGAAGTTACCAATTAGAATGTCAAGCTAACTATTACGTGGAGTTGATGAAATCGAGTCTCTAATGTTGTACTCATGCTATTTCATATGATAGGTGGACTTGCATCACATGAAGGGATGGCTAAAAAGAAAATCTCCGTTTTGGTTGTTTAGATCAGATCAAGAGAAGAAAGAGAAACTCCGATTACAAACAGCAAAACTACATGCTGTACTTTCCCTCACACAGCTTGCTTCAGGTATTGCTGGCTTTGCCAGCAATAGCAGTTCAGAAAGACGAGAATCACACCATATCAATTATGAGAGGGAAGGAACATGGAGCCATAATATGGGTAATGTAGTTGCTTCAGCTGCTGCTCTGATGACTACGGTATGTGCTGAGGCAGCAGAAGCTCTAGGAGCAGGAAGAGCTCAGGTTGCATCTGCAGTCAATTCTGGCCTGGCCATCCAATCTCCAATGGATATGATTGCAGTCACAGCAACAGCAGCCACATGTAATACTTAACACATATTTCTGTATTTTTTTTGTGTGTGTTACATTAGTGTTCGTTCTAAATGATGGAAGCTTAATGCTTGTTTACTAGGTTTACGAGGAGCTGCAATTCTTAAATCGAGAGCCATAGAGGATTCCTCTCCTAGGATCCCAGAGATGCTCACTGCAGGCACACGACTATGGATAATAATGCCCTCAGGTAAGAATCAAATCTCCTGAAAAATTTCTTATAGGTGATTTAGCACTTGAGCCGAGGGTCTTTGTTTACTCTCTACCTCCATGAGATTGGGGTAAGGTATGCGTACACTCTATCCTTCCCATACCTCAATTGTGGGACTACACCGCCTAAATATGTTTTGTTTATTACATCACAGGACATAAAGAAGACAAATGGGTAACCCTGCATTTGAAGCAAAACCAACTGATACTAAGCCTCAAAAGGAAGTACTTTGGGACTCTAAGAGCTTCAAAAGAATGTAATTATCCATTCAGTTTCTATTTATTACCTCAAAACTTGATGCTTCTCTTCTTTTTAGACTTTATTATAAAAGAACTCTTAATACTAAAAAAAACTTACCGTTGTCCAGACAAGCTGATCAACATCATAAAAGAATGTCTGGAGGCTCAAGACAAGTATTTTGTTAGCTTGATGACGAACAATGGAATCATCAAGCTTCTTTTCAAAGATGAAATGCAATCAAGCATCTGGATATCTACCATTTCAGGTGTCTTAAAGAAGCAAAGATCCTCTTGAGAAAGAGGTCTGATATATTGTACAAAAACGTTATGTCATACAGACAAAACCAAGATTTGTCATAAACATAATTCTAATGGAGAGATGAGCCAAGATTTGAACTTTATACGTTCTAAATTTTAAAATTTAGTAATGTAATTAAATTTTTACACATATTTAATTAATGAATTTCTTAATACAATTTTAGGATTTGAACCAAGGTTATTAGATTTGACCAAATTACATCCTCCACCTCTGCATACTTGTAGATTTAAAGCTCAAGTGGCCTTTTATTTTTACTGCATACGACAACTAAGATCGACTGGTTAAATAGTTAGAGATAAGACACTCAATAAGCCCCTTCAGGTACGGGTAATTTCTTTTTATTATTCGATTACCCACATGAAATTTGTTGTAAATAAGTGGTGATAAGACTCAAAATCTATGATATCTATTACTGTAAGCTTTGATATCATATTGAATATTTGTGAATACAATCTTCATAGCCGATTGAAAACTTTTTTTTATGTATATATACTATGTTTAAATTAATATACGTCTAGCTTTAATTTTTTAGGTGGGAAGATTCGTAACATTCCATCATCAATAATTCATGGATACAGCATTCGAGCAATTTGAGTGAATTATATCTGTAACTATCTATAGAATATTTTCACAAAAATGAAAATTATTCATAAACATCAAAAGTGATCAGGCAGACCCACATGGTACAGTGAAGATCTAAGAAAATATCATATAGTGAATTGTGCACTCTCATAATCAAAACTCGTGCACTAAAAGCCCACATTCTTATCTTCAAATCTAGAGTTCACCTCACCTCAGCTAAACGGTGATGCTATTCATGAATCGAAATCAAGTGCTAACAATATTGATAAACGTTGACGTTTTCTATGATTTACAGTATAAATTTAATTACAATAAACAGAAGGTCCGGTTTTTGTCACTGGGTAGTTGTTTTATATTAGAATTAGTAGATCGATGACATAATTAATTTCCTAATACAAAGCAATAAATACAGTGGAGTCCATCCAAAACAATGGTCATTATATGTTTTTTCAAATAATACTTTTTCTTAATTTCCCAAAAGAATCGCACCGAAAACTATTCGTCCGCTACACCACCTTGCACTTGCTTATAACAACTAAAGACAATCACAACCAATAAACCTTAATTCCCAATAGACAAATGCAAATAACCAATGAACTATTAAGAATAACTCTAGCATCTTGTCACAAATTTCAAAAAAAAAAATATCAAGTAAAACTACGTCACATAAATTGAAACAGATGAAAATATTTGTGTATTAGGGCTTAAATAAAAATATATAAAAAATTGCATGATCTAAGATTTCAAACCAATAGATGTTAAGCATACAAACTTACCAATCTGTGCAGAGAAAAATGTATAAATTCAACTTTACAGATATAATAGATATTCATTATTCAGCTGTCAATTCAAATGAATGGGGATGATATTTTCACTTGTTAATGTATATTTCTATGTGGTCTAAAGATTATTGTATCTTATTATTATCTCGTATTTGTATATGCTAAGGCCATTGAACCATACACTTGAAAAACGTGTTCAAGCGAAGTCTGGATTAAGCAAAATGTACACAAACCTTATCCCTATCCTCAGGTGGAGAGATTGTTTCTAACAAACCTTTACCTGAACGTGACATTATTGGATCAAAATAATACTCCCGATCGATTTAAAATGTCACCCTAATATATTTGTAATTAGGTTACATCAAAAGCAAGTGAAACCAATTATACTTCATAGAATATACCGCAGAATAACGAATATATAGCAGATGACGCATAACTATGGGAACTAGCTTCTTGGATTCCTCAGTTACATGAGAGGCTTGGTCCAATGACTCAAATCTTAAAGAAAATTGAATATATTATAACTGCTTAATCCTCAGACTTGAACAAAAAATATAAACAAAGTTACTTAGACTAAACTCTTTTGTCGATAATCTCATGCCTGATAATGGAATATTGATTAATATATAACTGATCCAACACTACTTGACAACAACTCGTACTAATTAATCTGTGTTTACATACCATATAAGATAAGGTCAGAAAACATGATCGATTTTACTATATTTGTATATTATTTCCTTAGGTATATCCCAGCAAATATTCCTCGTGGACGTTATTAACTACATATTTGTATTAAATATATGTTAAAACACATGCATATAAATAGAGCAAGTACGTGTGCATGAAAGCAACAGAAAGAAAGATGGCTCAAGTTAGAGAAGCCATTGATGATCATGATGAGCAGAGAGAAAAAACTGAGGATACGGGCGATGAAACTAAGAAAACTACGTCTGAGACTTTGCCATTTCACAAACTACTAAGTGAAGCAGATGCACTTGACTGGACACTCATGGCTTTAGGGACATTAGGTTCCATTGTCCATGGACTTGCCCAGCCTGTTGGCTATTATTTGCTAGGCAAAGCACTTGATGCATTTGGAAACAATATTGATGACACAGCAGCTATGGTTAGAGCACTCAAAAAGGTATAACTAACTTTACTGGCATATCAAAAATCATGAAGTAGGTGTTCAGACAATATTTGAAGTTAAAAGTTGAAACAAAAGTATTTGGAAGTGTAATACATATTCACTTGGAGAAGGGTCCTAACTCAGCTGTTCTGCTTTTACTTAATTTCAGGTCGTCCCATATGTCTGGTATATGGCCTTCGCAACATTTCCAGCTGGAGTGCTGGGTAACTACCTTACTACTATCATACTAAAGTTTCAATAAGCAAGACTCAAAATATCAATGATTTGGAATAGTAGAAACTCAACTCCATAAATTTTGTACTTAAAAAGTGGTAATGTGGAATATGCAGAGATAGGATGCTGGATGTATGCTAGTCAAAGACAAGTAGCACGTTTAAGACTGAAATTTCTAAACACAGTGCTAAGACAGGATATTGGGGCATTTGATACAGAGTTAACTACTGGCAAAGTACTTACAGGCATAAGCAACCACATGTCACTCATACAGGACACCATCGGAGAGAAGGTACATAAGCTCATCCCTGTAAACATTATTGTTAGCTTCAAAGCATTTACCAAAAATTTGAGCTAAGAAACATCTTTACGAAGAGAAGAAATATTGGAAATGAAAAGCAGGAGTGAGTAAACAACCTAAAGTACTTATAAGGCGTAAAACAAACTTTTGGCCAATTCGAGCATATAAACATGAATAAACAACTACTCAAACACCTTCATGATCAGTAGCTTAACAACTCAAGAAGCCCTCCCTCTCCCAAACGAGATACAGTATTCTTAGAGATGCTTCTTATTTCCTGCACCAGTTGCCTGTCATACAAAATCAAGTTCAAAGACTGTCCAATAGCAGGTGGAAAAAAATTTGATTAACCAAAAATGGTTCTAACATCATGCACATCCAGAAGTTCATAAATATCTAATTTACAATCTAATATCCATTTATACCTAACATTTCTTCTTTTCACGTGACAGTTGGGACATTTCCTATCATGCATTGCAACGTTTGGTTCTGGAGTCTTAATTGCATTTGTATCCTGCTGGGAAGTTTCTCTCCTATCCTTAATAGTTGTCCCATTGATAATGTTAACTGGCGCCAGTTACACAAAGAGAATGAGTGAGATTTCAAATATAAAAATGGCATACCTGTCAGAGGCCACATCAATGGTCGAAGAGGTGACAAGTTATAGCAATTTCTTCAATAACAATTTCATGTTAGAATATGCATAATCTGAATGCCAATCTTAGTTTTTGCAATAACAACTAGGAGTAACAATTTATTCATATTGCGTATCTGATGCTCTATGACAGACAATCTCCCAGATCAGAACTGTATTTGCTTTTGTTGGAGAAAATTTATCAATCAAATCCTTCTCAGATTGCATAGAAAGACAAATGAGGATAAGCAAAAAAGAAGCATTAATAAAAGGTCTTGGAACAGGCACGTTCCAGACTATAACTTTTGCTTCGTGGTCTCTTATTGTATGGGTGGGAGCTGTTGTTGTAACAGCCAAGAGATCAACAGGAGGAGATGTCATAGCTGCAGTTATGAGTATTCTGTTTGGAGCAATGTAAGAGCAAAAACCTCATATTCTTCAACAGATTCTTCATATCAGGAACAAAGAAACTCAACTACCTTAAAAACAGCAACCAGATGAGTTTTTCTTTTTCAAATTTCAGATCACTTACGTATGCTGCACCAGATATACAAATCTTCAATCAAGCAAAAGCAGCAGGAAAGGAAGTTTTCCAGATTATTGACAGAAAACCCACGATAGATGCAGACTCAGGAGGGATAACATTTGAAGTAATAGATGGCAATATCAACATACGGGATGTACACTTTGCTTATCCATCACGGCAGGAGAAGTTAGTTCTTCAAGGGTTTTCTTTGTCAATTCCAGCAGGAACAGTAGTGGCACTTGTTGGAAGTAGCGGGTGTGGTAAAAGCACCATCATGTCACTACTAATGAGATTTTATGATCCCGTGAGAGGTTGGTCAAAAATTCATTATTTACTTTTAATTGCTGAATTTGCAGAAGCATCTATAACAAAAGAAAGTTTCACATGTAAATGTCTAAAAGCTTCATAATGTTCATACTGCATCAATCAAATAGAATAGATAAATTACACAAAAATTGAAAAACTTACTCGGTATTTGAAAACCATCAGGTGAGATTCTCCTTGACAACCACAACATCAAAGATCTTGATTTGAAGTTTCTCAGGAGAAACATAGGAGTAGTTTCCCAGGAGCCATCTCTATTTGCTGGCAGCATCAAAGACAACATTAAGATGGGAAATATTAATGCAAATGATCAACAGATTGAAAGAGCTGCCTTGTTGGCAAATGCACATTCTTTCATATCCCAGCTACCAAATCAATATCTGACAGAGGTCAGACCATTATCACTCATATACATGACCAACTGTTTCATTAGGTTATTTTATAAAGGAAAAAAAGAAAAGATATATAACTGTCTGTATAGTTTGTGGTATTCAGTTCTATATATTTCAATAGGAAGAATGGAAAAGGGACTAAAATATCCTTGAACTATTGAAAAATGATACAAAACTACCCACCATCCACCTATTGGCTCCCAAATAGCCCTGCCAAACACCTAATTTTATTTATTTTTTGGAAATGGTAACTTTGTCTATTTCTCAAAAGTCAGTACACTGATCAGTATTTACAACATGTACTTTAAATTCTACTATCTTTTCCTAAATTGAGTCTAGTACATCAATTAAGAAAATAGTATCACTTGAGTATAATTGATTACACCAAAAACATAATAGCATAAGACAATTTAGTTTGACGTTTTGCATACTATATTCTCAAACTATCGGAAGCTCTAGAGTTCCTTTCCTTCCATATTGCCCACCTATTGACTCCCAAATAGCCCTGTCATCCATCTTTGGGTCCAAGATTGACCAATTCTATAACGGATTATCATTTAAATAATTTCTTTAAATATGTGGCGACCATCAATTGGATACAATTTAATGCTGGAAGGAACAGGAAAATTAATAATGATACAACAACATGCCTATTGTAATTCCACAAGTGGGGTCTGAGGAGGGTAGAATGTACGGTGGCCTTACCTCTACCTTTTTGAGATGGAGGAACTATTTCCGATAGACCTTCGGCTCAAAAGAAATTTAGCTGATGCAAGAAATAAGAAAATAAAAAAAGAGATAACAGAACAACTGCAGCTACAAATATTAATATACATTGGAGGAAAAAAAAACTAGTGTTCGTCATGTCCTCAGTCAACACTCGACTACCTACAAAACTTATACCCTAATTCTCGACCACTATACAGTCCCATCTAATGTCATATCGTCAGCTGAAGTTGTACCATATTCTATCTAATCACCTTCGTCAGTTCTTCTTTGGCATATACCTCTTCCTCTCCTAACTCCAACAGCCAACCACACACCTCCTCACTGTCAAAATTAATAACAATAATTTCTCATTATCTAAGAAAGAAGGATTTTCTGCTTCTCCACCACTATAAACAAAAGGGAGACCGAAAGGCACATCTTAGGATTGAGAACACCTGGAAAAAGAAAAAACTGTGCATCTAGCAAGTCTCGTGCCTTTTCCTGATCCAAGGCAAAATGACTTATCTGTAAAATCCTTTTCGAAAAATTGAACCAAAGAGAATGTAATGCCTAAATAGAGGATTCTTAATTCTTCTGTCTCTAATAGCCAAAATATTTTACTGCTCATCTGTCATCTCCAAGCATGATAAGTTAAAATGGAAGTAGTTGTAGCATGATCAAAGTACATCCGAAACAATTTGTTAATTCTTGTATAGCAAAGCTCCCATGAAAAAAATGAAATTAGCTTTTGTGTTAAAATGTCCTACTCTAGGTAGGGCAAAGGGGTCTCCAACTATCAGGTGGACAGAAACAGAGAATTGCAATAGCAAGAGCAATTTTAAAAAATCCTCCTATTCTTTTGCTTGATGAGGCCACCAGTGCACTTGACACAGAGTCAGAGAAACAAGTTCAAGAAGCACTTGAGACAGCAGCACAAGGCAGAACAGTCATCTTAATTGCACACAGAATGTCAACTATTGTAAATGCAGACATGATAGCTATTGTTGAGGATGGGAAAGTTGTGGTGACGGGAACACATAATAACCTCTTAGATACAAGTATATTCTACAACAGGCTTTTTTGCATGCAGAGCATCACGCAAGATTGTCAAACTAGGTCAGGTTAAACTCAATACCATATTCATCATTACATATCAGACTGGTTAATTGATTAAAATGAAATACATCTAATTGATAGGTTGGAGGCTACAAATACAAAAGTTATTTCCATACAAGAGGATTCATCTCAGGACCATAAGCAACCTGATGAGCCCAATGAAAGCAAAACAGAGCTTAAGGAACTTCCTGAGAGAGAGCAGATCCAAATAAAAGAAAGACACATATTTTTCAGAATCTGGTTTGCCTTGAACGAGAAAGAGATCATAAAGACAACTATTGGCTCCTTAGCAGCAGCTTTTGCTGGCATCTCTAAACCTGTTTTTGGGTTCTTCATCATTACAATAGGAGTGGCATATTATCATCCTGATTCAAAGGAGAAAGTAGCTCTGTATTCAGCAATATTTGCTTCAATTGGAGTGGTTTCTTTGTTTGCTCACACTTTGCAGCATTACTTATTTGGAGTAATTGGAGAAAAGGCCATGACAAATTTAAGGCAAGCTTTGTACACAGGTACCCTACTTATACATTCCTGGAAGATCAGATCCATCAATCTACATTTCGTTTTTCTTCCATTTCTCTTTTCTCAATGCATATTTAACATTCAAGAATTTGTCCCCTATATAAAAGTTGATGCGTATTACATTTCAAAAACTTTTTACAGCCACACTACGAAATGAATTAGCTTGGTTTGAAAAGCCCGAAAATAGTATTGGATCACTTACATCAAAGATAGCCAGTGACACATCCACAGTCAAGATCATAATATCTGACCGCATGTCCGTCATTGTCCAGTGTGTTTCGTCCATATTGATTGCAACAACTGTCAGCATGAAAGTTAATTGGAGAATGGGTCTGGTAGCCTGGGCGGTGATGCCATGCCACTTCATCGGTGGACTCATTCAAGCAAAGTCAGCTAAAGGATTTTCTGGTGATAGTAGTCTAGCACACTCCAAACTTGTTGCCCTAACTTCTGAATCTGCAACTAATATAAAAACTGTTGCATCTTTTTGCCACGAAGAACAGATACTTGAGAAGGCCAAACTGTCCTTAAAACGACCACTCAGGAAAGGCAAGTCAGAAAGCATAAAATTTGGAATTATTCAAGGCATCTCTCTCTGCCTATGGAACATAGCTCATGCAGTTGCCTTATGGTACACAACAATTCTTGTCGACAGGAATCAAGCCAGCTTTGAGAATGGGATAAGGGCATACCAGATATTTTCCCTCACTGTGCCCTCAATTACAGAACTATGGACACTGATACCCACTGTAATATCAGCCATAGATGTACTAAAACCTGTATTCCAAATCCTCGACCGTAGCACAGAAATTGTACCAGACATGCCAGATATTGCCAAACCCGAAACCATCAAAGGAGAAATTGAGTTCCTAAATGTCCAGTTTTGTTACCCATCAAGACCAGAAGTAACAGTTCTCAACAATTTCAGTCTACAAATTGAAGCCGGATTAAAGGTGGCACTTGTTGGGGAAAGTGGAGCTGGAAAATCTTCAATTGTAGCATTGTTACTGAGATTCTATGATACGAATGAGGGAAATGTTCTGATTGATGGCAAGGATATAAGAGATTACAACCTTAGAAAGTTGAGAGCACAGATTGGATTGGTACAGCAGGAGCCACTCCTGTTTAGCTGCTCAATTAGAGAAAATATCTGCTATGGGAGTGAAAGAGCATCAGAAGCTGAGATAGTGGAAGTATCAAGGTCAGCAAACATACACGAGTTTATTAGTAACTTACCTGACGGATATGACACTCTTGTTGGGGAGAAGGGTTCTCAACTTTCTGGAGGGCAAAAGCAGCGAGTAGCAATAGCAAGGGCCTTGCTCAAAAAGCCCAGAATAATGTTGTTGGATGAAGCAACAAGTGCTTTAGATACCGAGTCTGAAAGGACAGTAGTGAGTGCACTGGAATCAATGAAACTAAACAGCTCGGGGATCACAAAAGTGACACAGATCACTGTTGCTCACAGGCTTTCCACAGTAATAAATTCAGATACCATTGTTGTTATGGACAAAGGTAAGATTGTGGAGAAGGGCAGCCACTCAAATCTGATGGCAGAACCAGAAGGTGTTTATTCAAGATTTGTAAGGCTCCAAAGTATGGAGAAAAAGTATTGATGTACGCTGACAATTGCATCAAAGGTAACAGTAGGATTCACCCTCATGTAAACTATTAACTTATTGGTCATAGCACTGTTGCATTTGGTGAAGAAAAAAAACAGATAGGGCCAGTATGGGATTGATAGGTGTTGAATTATTTAATTAGCTTCAAATAGTGCCACTGTTATCAAAAGCAAAAGCGCAAAAAATGTCAGCCTGCTAAACCATGGGCATAAATGAAAAAAAAACACAACGGGAGGAAAAAATACAAATATCTATGTTAAGTCCAAGATTAAAATATATGAACAAAGATATTGAACAAAAATAACAATAAAGTGAAATATCAATTGTTTAGTTTCACTCTTCTAAAGAGGCTAATTGGCAAGGAAAAGTATGTGTTAGAACCTTGATGAGGACGCTGAAGCTCACATTAAGTGAGGCAAAGTGCTCAACATGGTCTCGCTGCAGGGCTTAAGCACCTCTGCCAACACTTATTAGAACTTTCCTAGGTGAATTTGGACTCTTCCTATATGTATTAATTTAGGACTCTTGCTATTCAACCAGTGAGTTAACTCACTCTGTACCCCTCTATCTGAGAGCAGGATGAATTTCCCTATAGAAGAGATCGGAAACTCTCTGATGAGTTCCAATGTCTGCAATTCCTTCAATGTATTGCCAAAATTCAGCAATCATAGCCAAGTCAAGGAACTAAACAAGGTCAAACCTGTGTGTTCGGCCTGACTTTCTCTTTAATAGTCCATTGACTGATCCAGTACTAGGGACCTTAACACACACCTCCAACTCCAAATCTTTTTCTCATTTTAATATATACAGGAGCTTAGTGTCACAGTAGCTAATATTTGCAGAAAATATATGGTAAAACAGTTAACCTATATTCATCACCAAAATGACTGTACACAGAACTGATACATACAAGCTAAGAGCACCCCTTTAAAATAACTGTCTGAAATTCTAGTTGCATATTATACATCCTTGAGATTTTAGGACGAAGCTTCAACACGGATGCTGTGTAGATTCTTTAGGCTCTCAATCTCCTCCCCAGAAGCAATTCCAGGATCAAGAAAACATAACTGCAAGAAAAATAAAATGTTATTGATGACTCAAAACAGGACAAACAATTAAATGTGAGACGGTTGAAATGCAATATAACCTGATATAATGGCTTCTTCAGAGTGTGTACACCTCTTTTTATTAGCTTTTGCCAACCGAAGTTTCCTTTAAGAGATTTTGCCAGGGATTCTGTTGTCTGAGACAAGGTATGGTGAAGCTTCTGGTAAGTAATCTAGAGATAATATACATGACATATCCTAAAAGTAACATAACCCGGTAGCTGATAATAGGAAAATTGATACTTAGACAAAACTAATGAGTAAAAAGAACAATAAGAAACAGAAGTCATTAAGGAGAAGTCATCAAACTTAATCCCTAACTTGAAATGGAATAAATAGATTTGAAAGCAACAGCATTGTCAGTTTCCTTTTCAACATCTCAACAAGATTATTGAGGGAGGAGAAACAAAATATTTTGATAACTACAATGACCATCCCATACATCAGTCATCCCAAGTGATGAAAACTAACAAAAAGGGAACAGATTGTACCAAGTTGATGGAGATCCTTTTATAAGTGTGCACATTTGCAGCACAACTCTATTAAAGGTAAGCAGCACGCACAATCACAAATCTCTCATATGTGATTTTCAAGACCACATATTTTTAGATGGACTGGTAATTTAAGAATACCCTAAACAATATATTTACTGCAAGAGTCTAAAATTCCTTACATGCTTGGTCCTGGAACCAATTATACATAAGCAGGTTAAACAACGAAAGCCAATTGCCAATAAAGGAACTTATGGAGCATAAGGCAAGCTTCCAAATCCTCACCCGCCATCTAACATAATATGCTTTTACATCTTCAGTACACAAAAAAAACATTACGACCATTTAACTAAGGAAAGGGAGACAATGGATTTCACATACACTTTTCAAGTAAAAATACAAATACTGCCATCAATATAGGGAAGCCCTAAAGACCAAAGCAATAATAGAACCTCGAGGACAAGACTTGCTTATGAATGAAATGTGCAAATACTTACATGACCTGGATCTAAGATCAATAGATTGTACTGCATCGGTCCATTTCTCTGGCATTTCATTTGAATCCCAACAATGGTTCTTGAATGGCCATCATGCTGGAAGTACAAAGGCCTGTTTCAACGAAGCTTATAAGAGACCCATCACCAAAAAGAGAATGATGATGAAAGAAGAGATCAGTAACCAAGAAAATTTATGCACAAGTAAAGATTATCACATACATCCAAGTTAATGAAGGAAATACAGTCACTCACTAAATTCACTTACGCTTTTTGACTGACTAGGATACCATGATTGCCGTATTTCCTGGATTTATTGTCAGAAAAGTAATTCCACACCCAATCAATGAGTGCCTGCTGGACCTTAGGCTTAGCCTTTACATCATACGAAATCGGAACAGCCTTGGATACAGAATTTTTCCCTTTGGACAGATATCCATCCATTGGTCCATAAACTTGTGGTGTCATGTTGCCCACACATTTACCAACTCCACTTGACCTAATGTCTATCTCCCGGCTTACAAAGTCCACTATCCTGGCACGAAGGCCAAATGAACGGAAGAGCGTAGCACATTCTGTAGTTCCGATCCAATTTCTTTTGCCATAAATTGCTCGATCAAAGTCTTCTGATCCCTGTTTATCAAAGCCTCTTTTCCAAGCAATTTCAAGCCATCTTTGGAGTGAAGGGATGTCAGGTACAAACCCAGAACCTCCATACAAGACCTCCCTTGCTTCTTGTCGTTGCTTAAGCAAGTGAGAACTAAGCATCTGGATATTACGCCAGCCACAACCCCACCCAAAATCCTCCGAATGGCTGCTTTGGAAATGATCAACATTAACACACAAAATAGTGGTGGTCTTTTCAGTCTCCAACTCTAAACAGTTCTTCAACAAATCCATTAACCCTTGTCCAATCTGAGGTCGGGTTTCATTAAGGTACACACTAGATAAAATCCTTGCTTTTTCATCAATATCTTTCCCTCCATGATTGCAATTTTTGGCCTCATACTTCAAAATACTACACTCGCGATCCTTTCGAGAACTAGTTTCACACTGCATGTCATCATCAACCTGATAATCACGAAAACAAGGCTTTAGAAAATTAGAGCTAGTAAACAAAGCCTACACCTTTTAAATGTCCTCTGTCACCCTCTATCCTTTTTCCAGTAACAAGCCATTTTTAAGCAAAAATATACCAATTTAAAAAAGGTGAGAATATTATAACTTTATTTTTCCAAAATTCTAATGATTTGCAGCCAAATAAGTACCAGTGTGACTTCAAAATTCTATGGACGCAGTTAGATAACATCAGAATTGGTACTCTGGTATATTAAATCTCGGGGATTGATGATATAGTATAAAACAGAATAATTTACAAAGAGAAGAAAAAAAAGAGTACCGGGATATAAGGTGGACTTGAAGGGGTACAGGCAAGGTCAAGGGCAATTTGTTGAGCCAATTCGAAGTCTTTGTCAATGTCTTCATCGTCGAAGTGACTGTTAGCGTGCCTGTGTTAATCCATCAATTTTTCAACTTTCTCGAAACAAAAAATAAATAGCAATTGACATAGGACGTAAAAAATCAAAAATAGAATCACCTTTCGAGTTCAGAGGTGAGAACTCTGAGATTACAGATAGGGCAAGCTGAGAAATCGGCCATTATCGAGCTCCGTGAAAAGGCAGGATTGTGGAGGGAAAACTCTTCTCTTTCCCAGTTTTCCTCTTTTTATAAACCCTATGGGGCAACGTAATTTTGAATTTTTTGAAAAAAATAATTTCAATTTAACTTTTTGTAGTACTCCTAGTAATTAATTAGACATAAATAATTTATAATACTGTTTAAACAATAAATTTTGTGTCCGGTCTACATAGTCACAAGAAAAAAGAGATACAAATATGACTTGTACCGCGGTTTGAGATCAAAGCATTGAACTAACAAGGATTGTGTGTTGGCGAGTAGAAGTTGATCTTTTTATATTATGATCGATTACTATTGATAAAGAAGAATTTTTCTATATCGCTTTGTATCAGCGATGTATTTAATCATTCGAAATACATCAAATTAAAAATGATATTGCGTTCCTGACAGAATACAACGACCCATTCAATAAAATAAACTAATTCAAAAAAAAAATCCCAAAGATCTGTTGCTCTAACCTCCCCACGAGTCATTTCTCAAAAGACTCTTCGTGCAGTCCGCCCTTCCTTGAATTATTTAGAGTTAATGTGAATATTGAATATTGAGTAGAAAAAGAAAATCTAAGTTGTGAAGTGGATCTTGTTAATTACCTTTAATACACTTATTAGTTCTTCCCAATAAATTTTACTAAAAAAACAACTCACTTATTTAATTACACGATAAAAATTATAAAAAAAATCGCATTCAACATGTGACATAACTAAAAATATGTATCTTTTGCTAAATTGAAAACCAAACCATACCAAATTATATTCTAAGGTGAATCTACATGTTTACTATTTTGGCACACCTTTTTTTTCTTCCTATTTTCATTTTCACTTTTATGTTAAAATAATATAGATATTTCCCTTTTTGTTATTGCCTATTATTTTTGTTTATTAAAAGATTCAATTATTAATTTTATTTTATGGTTCTTTTATAAATGTTAGTAGTTTACTTCTTATATTTTACAATATATAAACCTAAAACGCCAGCTTCCTTGCTTCAATCTTTAAAATTTGGAAAACCAAAAAAAAAAATACAAAAATTCAGTCTTATTGATAGTTTAGCACCATCACATTTTCAAAATACCAAAACGTCTCTATTCTGTTTTTCTTCTAATCTCAACTTACTCTTCTTTTACCTCATCTTCGCGCCAACTGTGTCCAATACTCTATGCTGAAGCCTGACTAATCCAAATTCACGCAGGTGGCAAAGCTCACTCATGTAGATAATATAATACTAGAGGATAAAATTAGATATTATAGTAAAAAAAATAATTATTAGGAACTCAATAGAGCATATTCTTTTAAGATACCTACTACTTGTTTCTTCGAAACACAAATGTTTTCAAGTAGTGTCAAAATAAGGCAGCATATTAACTATCATACTTGCCATTTCTCATCATTTATGTACAGAATCTGTTAGTCCTCACTTCTCTCACACAGTAAACACTCCTTAACGTTACTTAGCAAACAAGTATATATGTACATCACGCATAGCTCCCATCCTCACTGTCTGAGCGGGTCGTGCTCTTGGGAAGTAACATATCTTTCAACTCAGTATAAGCTTTGAGCTCCTCCAATGCATCTGATGCCTTCCTAGGAACATAGAACTGAGATGCAGTGCCAGTTTCCCCCTCTACCTCTCCCTCTATAGAATCTGTAGTATAGCAAGTAGAATCTTGACGCAGCGGAGGAGCAGTTCTCAACATGTGAACAAGGGCACCTACAGCAGCATCTTGAGATTTTCTGGTTGTTGCAGATACTCTAGACGAGGCTTCTGGGCGCTTTCTGGATTCAAGGTTCTCTCTGCATAACCAGAACAGTAAATACTTGTTGAGTTGAAAATCTAAGAAAGAAAGAAAGAAATGAAGATAGATGTCCACAACAATTTGGTGGTATAAACATCTCAGCCCTAACATAATGTATCTAAGGCGTGATAAAATTAATACAGGTCCATATCAAACTACTTAAAGGGAATTTGAAACCCCGAACTTGTCCTGATTTAAAGTACTCTACCATCACTTACCGCGAGTCAAATCTTGCATGCATAATTTTTAGCTCACCATTACTCCTCTTTACACCAAGAGGTATATCAATTTACTCCTCTTTACACCAAGAGGTATATCAATAACAAACCCGACAACAAAAAACAAAGTGGTTTCTTTTTCCGAGAGAAACAGAGTGAGTTTTTATCAAATGATTAAGGAAAATTTATGCAGATGGCAGCTTTCCTAAAGTCGAATTTTCCCTCGAGGACACTTGCTAAGAAAAGGAAGCAGCTTTCCTAGAAGTCGAATTTTCCTTTGAGCACACTAGCTAAAAAAAGGAAACAAAAGTGAGTGTGATTCCCAATACAGTTAGCTAAACAAAGTTTTCACTCAAGCGAATTTTAGACTTTAAAATATCAGATATGCCTAAGATACATCAAGCACTAAATGCATATTACATCAAACGCTATGTATATTGACAACACCAACTCATATATAGCACAACAGGCAAATAACAAGCATTCTTACACTCTTTCAGTAGAATTTACTGTTTCATCCAACTACTTCCAATGAAACTCTCACTTACATCACACGAGAAAAAACAAAAAAGTGCAAACCTAAAATTATGCAAGAAAACCCAAAATAAGGTGCTTTTTCTCCAACTTTGAAATTGACATGCATAAATAGACAACATTAAATTAAAAGCAGCACAGCACTAAAAAGTAAAACATGATCTAGAAATAGGTGATATATAAAGGGCAGATCAGAGACGAAAAGGCTAAAAAAAAGTGGACAACCTTTAAGGACAAAGTAAAAATGAAAGCAGGATAATATATAGCTAACACAAGCCTTTTATCTCGGGGAGAACAACTACAATTGTAATGTCAAGCAAAAATTGGATGGACCTAAATTCACTGACGTTACAACCTCATTATCTATACCATGTTACTGCAATAGCTTTCCAGTGACTCATTAAGAGAAAAGAGAGAGGCCATTCTACTTGATAGACTTTTTGCATATTGGAGTTAAAACCTAAAAAAGAACTTCCGTTGAAAATTCATATGTATCCCTGAGAGTGATAGCTACACGGCCTCATTCTATAGATCAAATGCTAACATTCTCATCAATGTTTCATCAGAAGCTCAATTCTCAAAACAACATTAAGTCCAGTTTCTTATTATGTCCAACCTGTTAGACAACAGCTAATTGACCACACATAGTTGGCTTCTATAAAAACCAATTATCCAATGACAAAAAAACTTCAACAAAGATGAATCCAAAGAAGTAAGGTTTGTAAGAAGATGAGTACTTCAAAAGATACAGTACGCTCTAGCAAAATTACCTGGCTCGGGAAACAGAAGTATCAACATCATCAACTATAAAAGGACAGGAAAAATCAAAGTCATCCAAGTCATCCTGAAAAGATAATCTGCTGCTAGAACTTCTAGAAACTCCAACACGTGGTGAATCACTTGAAGAGAGCACACCTGAGAACCGTCCTGAATCATCTCTAGCATCTGTAGGCACCTGAAAATGAAACACACAAACAAAAGTTTAGAAGCTGGCTGAAGAAGGCTCAAGCAGATATCATTTTCAAAATAAAAATATCAATCAGAAAATGCACACATTTAGTAGAAAACTAGAAATCGAAACTGCTCACCTTTTGTCCAGGATTAGTAGTATCTGACTCTGGAACCCTTAGCAAATCTATTTTCCTTGATGATCTGATTCCAGAAGGGGATTCATGGGATGAAGAATCATGCTTTGTGCATCTAGGTGACATAGGTGGGAGATAATGCCTGTTTGGATCAGACAAATTAGGAGATAGGTGTCTGGAAGTTCTGCCTATTAATGGATGAGGGATACTGACAGGATCAGTTTCTGAACGCAAATGAGTCTGCACAAGATTTGCACCTGAAAGATATGTGGGTGGAGATGGTGATGATGAAAATGGAGGGGAAAGTTGGTCATCATCAAAACTAGTTGTTTTCTGGTGAGTTGAATATTTGTAGTTAGGTGGAATCCTCTGTCCATATACATTACTGACTGAAGTTGAAAGCTCATATGGTGCATGGTACAAAGGTGGAGATCCTACATATGGCTGAGGTAAAGAAGGTGCCCTGAAGAGACCACTTGTCCAACTCTGCGGGCGCTGAACAGGTGCTGAACAAGAGGACTGTGTCCTTCTCAATGGAAATGAAGTATTATGAACACCCTTATCTGTCGAGTTCAAAGGGAATGACCTCAGAGGATCAGTGAGTGGACTACCAACATAATCTGTAATGATCTCAGGTGGAAAGGATGCAGAACTCTCCAGGTTAAAGTCCACCAGATTTTCACGATATGTCACAGATAAGGAAAGACGGCCTTGCTGGGCATCAACTGAAGTAAAAGTAAATTGTTTCATCATCTCCTCCTCTGCCCTTGAGAATGGCTCGCTAAATGAAGATACCTTAAAATTAATATCAAAACAACTACTCTGACTTGACGAAGATAGTTTCCTGAAGGCCTTGAATGCAGGCAGGAGCTTCAACATCGAATAAACGGAACGAAGTAGTATGATAGACTTCTTGTACATTTTCTTGTAAGAGGAATCACCCATTTGAGGAACCATAGACCTCCGATTTTCACATTGCACGACCCACCTCTCTATAATGGTTTCTGTATATGCCCCTGCAAATGCTTTACCTGAACTGTGCTTCAATGAAGTACAATCTTTATCTTGAACAAGTATTATATCTATTATCATTGGCTCCCCATGCAACAGATTCAAGTTTTCAAAAACCGCAGGACGATCTCCCAACACCATATTAAACCACTTGTCACTCCTCTTCACTTCTTCAAACCCACCATACGCTCTTATCGAAGGAACCCTCAAGTTCAAAATAATATGCAAGCTTTTTAGAAGATATTGAGCAAGTATTTGCTCAAATCTTCCATATCCACCCTGTAAGTTACTCCGAAAATCCATCTTTTTTGTCTTTCAAACAGATGCCACCACTATCTTTTGGTCCTCAGCAATATACAACTTGGTCCAGTATATTATACCTTCCAAATAATGCATAAACAAAACAGATAACCAACTGGCGATTTGATCCTTCATGTGGG